GGGGGGGGGTGCGCAAGGTTATCTGGGAGGAATGACCCTCACCTGGGCGCGGCCAGCGCGCCAAGGTGTTCGTACTCCAGGAGGAGTCTGGGAGCTGTAGTTTCCAAGGAACAACACCGTGGCCTTCGTGATTCAACATTTTATTGACATCCCAGGAGCAGGAACACTTTCCCTTATTAGTGACAATAACTATGACCAATTGTTGATCGTCTATGATCTGCCAGGCACGTAGGCACGTCACACAGTCCCTGAAGTGACGCCAGGGGCTAGAGTTAATGTCCTCATGGAGACACTGGAGGGCCAGTGACATGCAGTTGGCATCGTCCTCCAGGCTCAAGGTTTCAGGACAAGATCCCAAAGCCCACAGAGCTGCTCCTGGCAGGCCGTGACTCTGATGGCCTCTGCCAGGGCTCACACAGTGGCATATGCCCAACTCTGTGGTCATGGAGTCTCATAGGACAGTAACACCCGAAGGTGCTCCTTTCCAGAAAAGAAATCCTAGCAGCACAGCTGGTTTAGAGGATGTGGCATTGACATCGCTTCCAAAAGTCCTAAGCCATGTTGCGGCAAAGAGGTGAGTTTAGACCAACAAGGAAGTTTCTAAGCTGTAGAAGTTTCTGGAGCTTGTTTGCTTTCTCATGTGAACTCTGGCACTGCTGATCAAAAGTCTTGTGAAACTGGTCCCCGAACAAAGTCCTCCTGGACGCGGCTTGGGATGTGTGGCGTGATGTGTGACGTAGAGTGCTCACGGCGCATGCTCACGGCGCATGGCAGAGCTGCCCTCACACACCTTTGGGCTTCGCTGGCTTAAGATTAGGAGCCACGAGGATGAAGCTGTGGCCCTCTTTCAAGAGGACATAAGGCATTGTAATATTTAACCAGCACTTTCTGGAACTTTTCTTGTTTTGTTATAGGAAGGGTCATATTCTGCAATTTAGACTCCCATGAACCTCGCTAGGTAGGTCAAGCTGGCCTCCATCCTCAGCCTGCTAAGCGTTAGAATTATAGGAATGAGCCATTATTTTTTCTTTTTCCTTTCCTTCTTTCCTTTCTTCCTCTTTTCCTCCTTTTTTTTCTGTGATGTTGCAGATGGAACAGACCCTTATAATGCTAGGCAAGCAATCTATACTAGCTCTATTCCTATCCCCCTAATTAAAATAAAATAAAATCTTTTTTTGTTTTGTTTTGTTTTTTTGTTTTTCGAGACAGGGTTTCTCTGTAGCTTTGGAGCCTGTCCCGGAACTAGCTCTTGTAGACCAGGCTGGCCTCAAATTCCCAGAGATCCGCCTGCCTCCCGAGTACTGGGATTAAAGGCGTGCGCCACCACCGCCCGGCAAAATAAAATCTTTTTAAATTGCCTATGCTGGCCTCCTCCTTGAGACGCTCTTCAGTTTTTGGTTGAAGGGATTACAGGTTTGGGCCTCCTCGGCAGACTAATCCCAGTCTTTATTCGGTGGCTATCTGTTGTCACTGTCACAAAGGATGTAGGCCCGAGGGCTCATGCATCCTGGACTGGGAGGTTTATCGTTACCAAATGGGAATTTGGTTCTTTCTGTTGTCTGGACCTCAGCTGTCCTGTTAATGTCACTTCCTGCTTTATGCCTGGAAGCATGCTCAGATGCTGTTAGCTCCAGGGTAGACAGAAGTCTCAGGGCTGGGCAGACTAGATACAGTCACGGAGATGCCAGAGTTTGGGGGCAGTTTTCTTTTGGGGTATGGATACTTTTCAAATCCCTCTTCTATTTCTCTGTGCTGAAGACCGAACCTAAGATCTCAGGCTTACTAGACAAAGGTTCACCCTCTGCCCGCATCTTCAGCTGGTTTTTGACTATTTTGTCTATTGTGTTTTGGGAGGTGATTCCTGTAGCCCAGGCTGGTCTCAAAGTTGCTATGTAGTGGAGGATATCCCTGAACATCTGATACTCTTGCCTTCACCTCTAAAAGTACTTGGATTACAGATGTGGACCCAGCTTGGTCTCCTCTCCTCTCCTCTCCTCTCCTCTCCTCTCCTCTCCTCTCCTCTCCTCTCCTCTCCTCTCCTCTCCTCTCCCCCCTCCCTCCTTGCTTCTTTCCTTTCTTCCTTTCTTTTTTTCTTTTCTTTCTTTTTGGTTTTTCAAGACAAGATTTCTCTGTGTAGCCCTGGCTGTCCTGGAACTCACTCTGTAGACCAGGCTGGCCTCAGACTCAGATCCTCCTGCCAACAGTGAGTATGCCAGCTTCCTCTGATGCCAGGGAAGGCTAAGGGTTCCAGAGGCGTGGGGCTAAGGGTTTGAGTCGGGATATAGCCCAGGCTCGAACTGGGAATGGGCCGGATTTGGGAGGAGGGGTGTGAGAGCAGTCAGGGTCTCAGTCTTTCCTGACCCTCCAGAGGCTAAGCAGCTACATCCCACACCAGCTTTCTGGATCTCTACTGACTGGTCACGTGCCAGCCTCAGCAGGTTTGCTCTCCAAACATTAGGCCAAAAAGTTCTCCTTAGGTTACAACATGTGGCTCATTTGGATGGATTACCACTGGGATTTCCTTTCTGAAGGCTTGAGAAGGCTCACAACAGCCAGTGCACAAAGCTACAGACAGGCTGTTGTACATCATCTGATTTTTTACCCTTTTCCTTTCTTTCTTCCTTCCCTCTTTCCTTCCTTTCTCTTTATTTTTTTTAAAGGAAAGGAAGGGTTTTTTTTTTAAAGATTTATTTATTTATTATGTATACAACATTCTGCCTCCATATATGCCTGCACGCCAGAGGAGGGCGCCAGATCTCAGTACAGATGGTTGTGAGCCACCATGTGGTTGCTGGAAATTGAACTCAGGACCTCTGGAAGAACAGTCAGTGCTCTTAACCTCTGAGCCATCTCTACAGACCCTACTTTTTTTCTCTTTGAGACAGGGTTTCTCTGTGTAACAGTTCTGGCTGTCCTGGAACTTGCTCTGTGTACCAGTCTGACCATGAACTCAGAGATCCACTTGCCTCTGCAGGGATTAAATGTGTACACCATCATGCCAGCTACATCTTTTTATTCTTTGTTTCTATCTTTCCCGTCTTTCCTTTTTCTGCAAAGACTTAGTGCCTACTGTATATCAGGCAAGAAGCTTGCATTCTGGGGAGGGTGCAGGCACAAAGCCGTCCGTGTACACCATCCCTCATCAGTTCAGTGCCTCGTGTTTACTTGTGGATTGACAGCAGGGGACGGGCAAACATTTGAAGTCCCCAGCCCCTAATGGGAAAAATATATCAAAACACACAGGGGCCAGTGTGGGAACTCAGTGGGTAAGGAAGACCCCAATGATCTGAGCTTGATCTCCAGGACGTACTTGGTGGAAGGAGAGAACCATTTTACACAAGCTGTGCTCTGACCTGTGCTGTTCACACGTCTCTACCCATGGAAAGTAAACGTAACAACAACAGTAACACACATACACTCACACACAGGGCCAAAAAGAAAGAGAAGTGCGGCTGGAAAGTTGCCTGAGGAGTTAAAAAACCAGAGTTTGGATCCTAGCTTCACATAGGGGAAGTTCACAAATGCTCATAACACATATGAGTAGTGACCCACCTCTCTCTTCTGGCCTCCGAGGTCACTGCAGTCACATACGCACCCTGCCTCCCCAACCCTATCCACAAACACATACTAAAAATGTCAATGAAATCCAGAAAGAAAGGAAGAAAGGAAGAAAGAAAGAAAGAAAGAAAGAAAGAAAGAAAGAAAGAAAGAGAAGCCAGGTATGGTGATGCTCTCCTGTACCTGCCCCTGAGAGGATCAGAGTTCCAGACCAGCCAGGACCACATAGTAAGACTGCTGTGGGAGCTCCTTCAGCCAATAGCCTTTAAGATAGCCCAACATGGCTGCAGCCAGTACCTCCACCTGAGGCTAGACTCTCAGAAAGTTAAGGAATGGGGTGGATCCAGACATCAAAGCCACCGCTTTAATCCTAGCCATATTGCTTAGCAGATTAAAGACTTGTGTGATCAGAAAAAGAGAGATATACAATAAAGATAGATTCAGACAAAAAAAAACCCCTCTAAACAGTTTACAGTGTATTTAAAATATATGTAGGCTTGGGAGAGAAAAGAAAAAGAATAAAGTCCTTAAAAAAAGAAAGAAAGGGGCTGGAGAGATGGCTCAGAGGTTAAGAGCACTGGCCACTCTTCCAGAGGACCTGTGTTCAATTCCCAGCAACCACATGGTGGCTCACAACCATCTGTACTGAGATCTGGTGCCTTCTTCTGGTGTGCATGTGTACATGCAGACAGAACACTGAATATATAATAAATAAATTTTAAAAAGAGAGTAGTTAATCCCCACACTTGGGAGGCAGAGGCAGGTAGATCTCTGTGAGTTCAAGGACAGCCTGGTCTACAGAGTTCCAGGACAGTCAAAGATACACAGAGAAACCCTGTCTAAAAAAAATAAATAAAAAAATAAAAGAAATAGAGCTTAAAATAAAGCCATGTAAAGATGGAAAATACACAGAGAATCTGGATATGTTATTGTGCTGTTTTTGAATTGTTTGATGGTTGAGGAAGGAGCAACAGCTGCTAAAAGACATTTGATTATAAATGCTGCTGGATTAATCTAACATATATATTTTGAAAATGCCTTGACTTCAAAATTTAAGTCAAAGGGTATGTTACTTTGGAGAAGAGGCTTTGTTTTTGTTTCCACAGGAAATGAGAGGCTGTGGATTCATTCTGGGTTAAGAAAAATCAGGTTTGATCAAGGAAGACCCCCAGAGAAATCTCCGATAGGAATGGATGGCCTAGATGATGCAGCATTTCAGAGTGCCCCTGTTGGAGTTTCCTCTGAGTCCTACATCCAGAACAGCCTAAAGGCTGCTGGCTGAGATGATCAAGCCTCACAGAATATTCCAGCTAGGACTTGACCATAATTCTAAATTTTCTTTAGGTCCCCATAAGAATATCAGTGGCTGAGCTGGAGAGATGGCCCAGTGGTTAAGAGCACTGACTGCTCTTCCAGAGGTCATGAGTTCAATTCCCAGCAACCACATGCTGGCTCACAACCATCTGTAATGAGATCTGGTGCCCTTTTCTGTGTTTTATACATGGACGCAGAATGTTGTATACATAATAAATAAATAAATCTTAAAAAAAATATTAGTGCCCCCAATCAGCAGGAAATAGCCTAGAAAACTATGCCTAACACTCCCAAAAAATGGATTATGGATGTTTGTCTTTGTTTAGAGTGTTGGTTACAAGTTGCTATGAATAATGGTCTGGAAAAAAGCTAAACAAAGGGGATTAGACTCAGAGTTCTTGTTGTGAAAAACAAAAGCGGGGGAGGGAAGTGCTGTGGGACAATGGTTTTGTACCCTGTAAAGATTTGTCAGTTGTATTGGTTTAATAAAATGCTGATTGGCCAGTAGCCAGGCAGGAAGTATAGGTGGGGCAATGAGAACAGGAGAATTCTGGGAAGAGGAAAGGCTCAGTCTGCAGTCGCTACCCAGACGCAGAGAAAGCAAGATGTGACTGCCTCACTGATGAAAGATACCAGGCCACGTGGCTAACACAGACTAGAATTATGGGCTAATGTATGATGTAAGAGTTAGTTAATAAGAAA